CAAAGTCATGCTGTTATAACAGAAGCACTGTGCAGTTTAGTATCATCTTCATCTGAAATCTGCAGAAATTTATGAATCAGATAGCAGTGATTTTCTTTTTATTTAAATGTTTGGCCAGAAACTGTTGATGAATAATTGATGGATAAAAGGATAAGTAACAAATTTCAAGTGTTGAGTTGATCCTCTCGGGACCCGGAACACCGCTGTAAAATTTTATATTTCCCTCTGGATGAACCGAATTGCAAAGCTTCCCAACCTTTGGTGCAAAGCATCATAACATTCCCAGAAACCCATCACGCCTCATAATTAACCTCTACTGCAATACATACTCTGTGGTCCCCATAGTAATTGTCTTTTTTAGCAACGAATAGAAACTGAGTTTCTATGCTATGCCATGCCTCAAAGCTTTAAACATGCATTTAGCAAAAATTTCTTAATATTAGTATGAATTGCAAGTTATATTTCTGCTGTTTAAGTTTCACTGGACTTTATTTCACGTTATCTATTTTGTGTATTTCTGCCAACCAGGGTGGTCTGCCTGCCTGGCTTCTCAAAAGAAAGACATCGTACTGCGCTCTACAGATTCAGGTGAGAAACAAAAGCAAATGGTAATGTAACCAGTAGAAATTGTATATACAGCACAATTCGCAACAGAGTCATTTGTGTATTCCAGACTACATCGCAGCAGTGGATAAATGGATGGGGAAGTTGCTGCCTATGATAAAGCCGTATCTCTATCAGAATGGTGGTCCGATCATCACTGTTCAGGTGAGTCCAGGACTTTCCTGGTGTTTGGATTTGTACCTGCTTTAGCTGCTGTTGTTATGTTTTACATCATCATTACATACCTGTTTGATAGGTGGAGAATGAATACGGCAGTTACTTTGCCTGTGACTACAACTACATGCGTCACCTGTCCAAGCTGTTCCGCTCTTACCTGGGTGATGAGGTGGTGCTGTTCACTACAGATGGGGCTGGGCTGGGCTACCTCAAGTGTGGCTCAATACAAGACCTCTATGCCACTGTGGATTTTGGGCCGGGTAGGTATCTGTCAACGGTAAAATGCAGAGTGAGGTGAACACTCTAAGCTGAAAACTTCTTGTTTTTTTTCTGCACTGACTCCTTGTCACATTTCATTAGTCATTCACAGGGAAGTAGCAAAAACAAATGCATGATTATTATTGTCTCTTCCTTTTGCTAGGTGCTAATGTTACTGCTGCCTTTAAAGCACAGAGACAAGTTCAACCTCACGGGCCTTTGGTAAGGGTCGCCCTCACAATGTTCTCACAGCATGGTACGTTTTCTCTTTAGGTGCTCACGGTGCTGTTTTTAATTCACAGGTGAACTCTGAATTTTACACTGGATGGCTGGACCACTGGGGATCACATCACTCGGTTGTGTCGCCCACTCCAGTGGCTAAGGTCCTCAGCGAGATGCTGCTCATGGGAGCAAACGTCAACTTGTGAGTTTATGGATCTCAGAGACTGATTGTTAGAGACAGTGAAGGGCTGTATCATCTAAAGCTAGAAATGTATTGGTGAAGTGATGCCTCCAGGGATCAATCCACTGCTACAACTGCCACCTAATACAGTGATTGGCCAAACATGGTGCACAGGTAAATGATAGAAGGTTCTTATCTATCAGACATTATGGCAGCATCATGTTGCTTAGCAGCCACTTAGCAAGATGCTAAAATGATTTATGCACTGGTATTGTATCGTTTTAATTTTACAACTGCCACACAAACATTAAATTAGCTGTTCCTAGCAACAACCTTGCAACAGGCTTAAGTGACAAAAATCTTTGGTACCGATCTACCACCCCATCCCATAATGCACTTTGCATTTCTCCTTCATTTACCTTTTTCATTCTCTTGTGTTTATACACCATTCTACATTTCCACAGTGTGTCAGGGTGGTGTGATCAAAAAGTTTCAGCCAAATGTTTCTTCTACAATAAAAAAAAAAGACATCTCCTTTGACAACACAGTTGTGAATAACGGTAACAAAGAGGCATATGAGCTTCTTAGGTGACATCTACAGGGAGCAGGTGAAAAGAAGCAGATCTGTAAAACATTATTACTCTGTGTAGTGTGTGATTAATAATGAGTCTGATCTTAAATCCACACTTGAACATTTCCATCTTGAGTTTGCAACTATGGCAAACAGTGATTGAAATGGGCTAAATTATTGTAAGAATATACACATTGCTATGTAAAATAATTGGATACTAGCTAATTGCTCTACATTTGCAAATACAGCAGGTGCATATTTTAGCTTATATACCGGTACTCACCTTCCTTCCTCCTCACACAGGTACATGTTCATAGGAGGAACCAACTTTGGATACTGGAATGGTGAGTCCACTTTGACAAACTGATCTGCTGAGATGATGATTGTTTCACATGACTTCTGACAAAACACTGCCTTTTGTCTGACTGTCACTTAATACCCTCAGGGGCCAATATGCCATACGCTGCACAGCCAACAAGCTATGACTACGATGCTCCGCTCACAGAAGCCGGAGACCTCACAGGGAAATATTTTGCCATCCGAGAGGTGATCAAAATGGTACGAACAAGCGTAAGCTTCTACTTTTACAGTGTCTAATATCTGTGAAGGTAATAAAACACTGGCAGCATTTCATTAGCATACGCTAACTGTAGTTACAATAAGTAATTCATTGTTTCTTTTGAGTATGGTTTTCTTGTATAAGCCATTTTGACAAACTTGCATTTTTCCAACAGTACAGTAAGGTACCAGAAGGGCCGATACCACCAACAACTCCAAAGTATGCGTATGGTGCCGTAACAATGAAGAAGGTGGGTGATACTCATCACCTTTAATAAAGTCATTAAAACAGTGTTATAGAGTTTTTACTGTTTTATTGGATTATGCTTCAAATGTTATGTTATACTTATGTTCACATATTTCACCAGACACAATGTACCAACTCTGCAGAAACAGGAAGCTCACCCTGTGACATTATTAGCACACACACTTTGTGACACACACACACACACACACACACACACACACACACACACACACACACACACACACACACACGCACACACACACACAGCTTACACACAGACAGCATCAGGACCTGCGTAACAGGAAATGTGATTATATTTGCATATTGACGATGTAACCTATAAAAATAAACGAATGCTGCAGTTCGTGGTGTCGCTCTGTCTGAGATTCACCCGTGCAGCACGTTAACTATCTCGAGTGTCTCAGTGTTGTTTATTCACCTGACTGTTTGTTAACTGTAAATCTCTGACAAACAGCTACTTTTTTAGCACTTTAATAATGATTTTCACATTGCTTTATTAAAAATGGATAATGAAGCTTATGGACTGATGAAAATTAAAGATTAAAGTTTGACCTTGTGCCACCTGCAGCTCCAGACCGTGTCGGATGCCCTAGACGTACTGTCTCTCTCTGGCCCTGTCAGAAGCATCCATCCTCAGACTTTCATCGACTTGAATCAGGTACCAGTAATTGTTCCGTTTTTCCCGTTTTATCAGCAATAATAACTTTGTACTGTCATTAACGAGTCTCTTATGCTCCTCTAGGCTTTTGGTTTTATGCTTTATAGGACCATCCTGCCCATGGACTGCACCACACCAACTCCACTGTCATCTCCACTGAATGGGGTCCATGACAGAGCATACGTGTCAGTGGACGGGGTGAGTATCAGATGTTAGGTGGAGGTTCTTCTTCATATGAAGCCAGACTTTATCACAGTTCGCTCAGTCAGTTCAAGTTTAGACTAGCTGTTGTTCTTAAATATTTCGGTGGAAGCCAAACGTATGCATCATTAAACTTACACAACTTTTGCTTTCATTAAGTTGTTGTCTTGTTTTTTTTGATTAGGCTCCTGTGTTCATGTTTAGTAAGTCACTTATTTATTCATTAACAAACTTCGATGTCTTTTGCATCAAAACCCATAATTTTTTTTGCAGTAACCGCTGTGGATAAAACAAGAAAAAAAATCATAATAAAATCATTAAAGATGCAGCTGGATATGTTACAAAAGATGAAAACAGAAATGAAACACTGAAAAGAACTGATCTGCAATAAGCACAAAGTACAACCGCATACAATGACACGACAAGGACGGCACACTTTACTGCCAAACAACAGCAGGATAAATAAAAAAGAGATATTCCACAATTAAGGTAGAACTAATAAAGTCATTTCGTCTTTATTAGTTCAGTTTATTAACTGAACTTTATTTATATTTATATATATATATATATATATATATATATATATATATATATATATATATATATATATATATATATATATATGACACACACACACACACACACACACACACAGTGGGGCAAAAAAGTATTTAGTCAGCCACCTCCTCTATCTGCCGGTGGTACATACCGTGCAGGGGCCTGTCCTTCCATGATGGTTCCTTGTCTCCCTCCTCTTTCTTGGGTTTCTGCTGCCTGAGGTATTCACTGAGCACTCGGTCAGTTGGGGCCATCTTCCCAATGTATTCTTGGATGTTCGTTGTCTCATCCTGGACTGTGGTGCTGACACTCACCAGTCCCCGGCCCCCTTCCTTCCGCTTAGCGTACAGCCTCAGGGTGCTGGACTTGGGGTGAAACCCTCCATGCATGGTAAGGAGCTTTCTTGTCTTTATGTCAGTGGCTTCTATCTCCTCCTTTGGCCAGCCTATTACCCCAGCAGGGTACCTGATCACGGGCAGGGCGTACGTGTTGATGGCCCGGATCTTGTTCTTACCATTCAGCTGACTCCTCAGGACTTGCCTGACCCTCTGCAGGTACTTGGTGGTTGCAGCTTTTCTAGTGGCCTCTTCATGGTTCCCATTCGCCTGCGGGATCCCCAGGTACTTGTAACTGTCCTCTATGTCTGCAATGTTGCCTCCTGGTAGTTCAATCCCCTCAGTTATGACTACCTTCCCTCTCTTTGTTACCATCCGACTACACTTCTCCAGTCCGAATGACATTCCAATGTCATTGCTGTATAGCCTGGTAGTGTGGATCAGTGAATCGATGTCTCGTTCACTCTTGGCATACAGCTTGATGTCATCCATGTACAGGAGGTGGCTGACAACTGCTCCGTTCCGTAGTCGGTATCCGTAGCCAGTCTTGTTAATGATCTCACTGAGGGGGTTCAGGCCTATGCAGAACAGCAGTGGGGACAGAGCATCTCCTTGGTAGATCCCGCACTTGATGGTGACTTGTACTATGGGCTTGGAGTTGGCCTCTAGTGTTGTACGCCACATCCCCATTGAGTTCCTGATGAAGGCTCTTAGGGTCCCATTGATCTTGTACAATTCTAGGCATTCCAGTATCCAGCTGTGGGGCATTGAGTCATAGGCCTTCTTGTAATCAATCCAGGCAGTGCACAGGTTGGTCAGTCTGGTCTTGCAGTCTCGGCTGATTGTTCTGTCTACCAGTAGCTAGTGTTTTGCGCCTCTGGTATTCTTGCCAATCCCTTTCTGTGTCCCGCTCATGTATTGACCCATGTGCCTGTTCATCTTAGCCGATATGATGCCTGACAGGAGCTTCCATGTAGTACTGAGGCAGGTTATTGGTCGGTAGTTGGAGGGGACCGGTCCCTTCTTGGGGTCCTTGGGATCAGGACCGTCCGACCTTCGGTTAGCCATTCCGGGTGTCTCCCGTTAACTAGCAGCTGGTTCATTTGTGCTGCCAGACGCTCGTGGAGTGCAGTCAGCTTCTTCAGCCAGTAGGCGTGAACCATGTCGGGCCCTGGTGCTGTCCAACTCTTCATACTGGAGACCCTTTCTTGGATATCTGCCACTGTGATGGTTACTGGACCCTGTTCAGGGAGGTCGCTGTGGTCTGCCCTCAGATCCACTAGCCACTGAGCATTGCCGTTATGGGTTGCGTCCTTCTCCCATATGCTCTTCCAGTATTGCTCCGTCTCCAGCCTTGGTGGTGCTGTTCTCTTATTATTATTATTGTTCCCTTGCCACTGAGAGTACACCTTTGCTGGTTCTGTGGAGAACAGCTGGTTTATTCTCCTGCCTTCTATCTCTCTGGTGTACCTCCTCAAGCGGCTGGCCAAGGCTGTGAGTCTTTGCTTGGCAGTTTCCAAGGCCTCAGGTATGGACAGCTTGCTGTATTTCTTATGCACCTTCTGTGTCGCACCTTTCTGCAACTCCATTAGTTGGCTAACCTCCCTCCTACTTTGATCTTGCCCTCTAGCCTCCTTCTCCATGGAGGGTACTGCCCCTTGTGGCTGTTCAACTTGTAGCCAAGCATCTCACTGATCACTGCTGCCGTATTGTAGATCAGCTTGTTAGTGTCGGTAATCGTGGTTGTAGGTATCGTCCGTAGTGCTGCATTAACATCATCTAGCAGACCTTCTGAGGGTACTTCACGTAATCTTGGTAACCGACTACGGGGGATACAGGTTTCAAGCAGCTGGATAGTGTAGTGGTTAGACTACACGCCTTTGGAACAGAGGATCGCAAGTTCGATTCCTGCCTGGGGTGTCTGTATCCAGTAAGGGTCCTAAGGCTAGACCCCCTATGCTAAGCAAGCCTACCGCAGACATGAGCGAGACAGATAAATATGAAGGCATGCCGGCTCGGACGTCGCCCGGATCAACAAGGTCCGCGTCAGGTGTTGAGGAACCAGGGCACCCTGATGAAAAGTGGGCTACTGGAACAAGAAGGCATCGGTGGGCTATATATATGTGTATGTGTATATATATATATATATATATATATATATATATATATATATATATATTATTTTAGGGGTGCAACGATACACAAAATTCACGGTTCGGTTCGATACTTTGGTGTCACGGTTCGATATTTTTTTCGATACAAAAAAAATGTTCATGCATTTTTAATTTGTCATTTATTAAAATTATAAATATATATTTTAACTCAAAAGTACAGTTTTTAAATTTAACCCTAACCCTTGTGCGTGTTTTTTATTTTGACAGCGAATGCGCACCTGCGGACCACTTATGTGCAGCCCTGGTTATTTAGCTCGTCATATTGCAGCCACAGAAATTCTTTTGTCCATAAAACCATAAAGCTGCACTTTCTTTTTGCCTTATAGTCTGATTTGTCATAACTTCTCCGTTTTGTGGTAAGCTTTTCTTTGGCTGTCACTTCTTCACCCTGACCTGTCTTATTTGGCTCAGCAGAACTAAAATATATATCTGTCTGTGAAGGTTCTCAGTCATCCAGGTCATCGTAGTCAAATATAAATCCTGCTGCTTTTACACACGCACTCACATAAGCTCAGCGATTCTCTGCGCGATCAACCTCTCACATGTTTAAGCTTGCTGCGGGAGATTTCACTTGTCATGTTTGCGTAGTAAGCTAACAATTAATAAGACGATGTCAGAGGAATTGGTGCACAAATTATCATCACTCACAGATCAGTACTGTCGCTCTCTATACACAGTTTGCACGATTGCAAAGTGAAAGCAAAAAAACAAGCGCAACTTCAAACGCGATTTCAATATGTCACATATTGACAGTGGCTCACCGATGCCAATGACATAATTACCCAGCTACATTTCCGAAAGAATGCAAAAGCATTGACATATATTTTTCCTACAATAGCCCGACGGGCAGGGAAGAGATAGATTTTGGTAGCCCGACTGAAAAGATCGCTAGCCCCGGGACGTCGGGCTAGCGATATTGCGAGCCCTGTATCTGATTGAGGAATCACTCATCTTTGGAAAAGAGAGTTTATTACAGAGAAATGGCTCTTTCCAAAATAAAAGCTATACTATCCGCTTCTTCTGGGCTATATTCTCAGCAGCATAAGGAGAATCATGTGCCAACAGCTGTCTAAATGACTCGGCTAAAGTTAGTAGCATGCTTGCTTGTTTTTTTCTGCTTCCACTTGTCTTTGCACTAGGATGATGTCGGCGTAAATGTGCAGTCATATTCGTTGTGTTCCCACTAGTGCTTTCAGGTTAATCTCGTTGAAATGACCTTAACGCCACAACACGGCAAATCTCCGTTAACGAGCTACCGCCGATCGCCCCGTGCATGGGGCTAGATGGCCAACATGTTAACGAGCTAACTGCGTTAACACACTAGCTCCCACCCATGTAATTGAGCATTGCATGGCAAACATACTGTTTTACTTTAGTCCATGACTCGCTTACCTTCAGGGTCATACGTCACATGAAAACCAAAATAATTCCAAACGCCAGATCTGAATGCCCTGCGCTCTTCCTTCTGACGATGCTGTCTGTGTTGAGCGCTCAGTGAATCTGCGTTCGACTACTCCGCCTAGGCTGCACTGTCGAGCCTAGGCGGAGTAGTCGAACGCAGATTCACTGAGCGCTCAACACAGACAGCATCGTCAGAAGGAAAGTTGATAAAATAAATCAAAAATTTTGTATTGTTCGATACATATGCGTACCGAACCGAAAGCACTGTATCGAACGGTTCAATATCGATACGAATATCGTTGCACCCCTAATATATATATTAGACCTTTAAATCATTCTCTCCTTTTTCACTGAGTAGGTTTTATTTTTTTATTTATTTTTTTTGCATCTGGATTCTTCTTCCTTCATCTCAAAAGAACTGAAATTAAAAGAAAAGAAAAAGGAGCTCTAGATGTTTAGTTTTCCCTCAAATTTCCTTTAAAATCTTTTTCAGATGTGATACTTGGTGTGGGGTTTTTTGTTATTATTATTTTGAAAATAATATTTTAAAAGTGCCATTTCCGTTACCTCCTCGTGGTTCTTAATCTTTCTTACATTTTCATTTAAGTCTAAAACTACAGGTAGTATAATAAGATAGATTAGTAAACAAAACAGGTTAAGCTTTTAAACTTGATATAATCTCCACTTTTTCCCCAAAAACTGCTTTGCACTGATCAAGAAAATGTGATTATTTCTGCTATAATCTGGATTTTTTTTACAGATTTTTTTTTATTTCTTCTCAAGCTGGCTGTAGGAATTCTTGAAAGGGATAAAGTCTTAAGCATCAATGTAACCGGGAAGGCTCGAAGTCAGGTGGACATACTGGTGGAGAACATGGGCCGAGTAAACTACGGAAAACAGATCAACGATTTCAAGGTTTGTTTCTGTGCTACAACATGTCGTGCTGATGTTTGTCCTTTGGACATTTTAGTGTTTGTGTAAGTATCCCAGGTCTATGGTCATGCGGAATTTGGTCACTTTTGTAAAAATTGTCCAGAGGTTCATGTAGGGTTTTTTTTGGTTCTTCAGAGTTTCATCAATCAGAGATCAGATAATAAAACATAATAATTGACACACAAACAAAACTATTTTCTGTTTATCTATTATTATTATTATTATTATTGTTAGCTGTTTAAAAAAACAGTCCCGTGAGATCTTCTCTTCTCTTATCACAGGGCTTGGTGTCTAATCTGACCCTGGGGGCGGACCTTCTCACCGACTGGACCATGTACAGTCTCAGTATTGATGAAGCAGTCATGAAGGGCCTCCTCGGAGAAAAAGAGCCTGCACTTTTTGATCCACCTCAGCCAGCTGATCTCTCCCCTCCAGCTTTCTACGGGGGAAGCTTCGTGATACCCGACGGCATCCCAGACCTCCCTCAGGACACCTACATCAAGCTGAGCAGTTGGAGAAAGGCATGTGACATGTTTTATAGCACGCACTGGTGCTAACTTGTCAAAAGACAGGTTTTGCTTTTCTCTGCTGAATGTTCTTATGCATTTAATATTTTTGGTTTTAGAGGGTCTGCTGGATAGAAGGTGACAGTTTGACCTCAAAGTACATGTGTTTATGTGACTGTATACAGACTGAATATTCATTTTTAGTTGCATCCTGGTAAATGAAATTATTGTGTACAATTTTTTAGGACCAGGTGGTGTATTAGACCTTTGACATCTAGATAGATACACAAGATATTTTTAATTTTTGTTAATTATTTAATTTTATTTTGATGAAAAATGGGCTAAGTAGCTTGTCTTTGTGATTTTGTGTTTTTCAGGGACAGATCTGGATAAACGGCTTTAATGTAGGACGTTACTGGCCGACTCGAGGGCCTCAGATGACACTTTTTGTCCCTGCTAACATCCTCAGTACAGCTGCACCAAACAATGTGACCGTCCTGGAGCTTGAAGGGGCTCTCTGCGGCTCTAAAGCGTGCACTGTGGAGTTCACCAACACCCCCATCCTCAATGCAACAGTCCAGTCTGACTACAAACAGCACAGTTGTTAAAGAGGATTTACTGTGACGATAAACAAAAAATTTTCCGCTGCACAAAAGGGATCTATTTGCACATTTAGACTCATTGATTTAGCACTTGTTGGGTCACCTCAACAATCTTTCTTTTTTTTTTTTAAACTATGAAAAGTGGTTAAATTTGGGAAATAATATCAATGATGTGTGTTTTTGTGCATTTTGCTGAATTATTTTAGCCTGTTTTTTATCAGCACATTAACTTCGGGTTTCTCTACCTCACTGATTCCACATGATTCCAAATTCACAGACTTTTTTTCCTCTTCAAAAAGGGAATGAAGTGAAAGCTACTGAAAGCTGTTTTTTTTTTTTTTCTTTGTTGTTCAAAACTCAGATCAGGGAATTATTGTATTTTTAAATTACTGCGGGATTGCTGCTTTTATTCTTTTACATTACATTACATGCACTCTGAGTTTGATTTACCTTTATACACCTTTCAAATAAAAACCAAATAATTTGGAATTTCAGAAATCCCCTTTGTCTTGTCTTTGTATGAAAAGATACCAGTCCGCCTGGCTGCTGTGGTGGTACAGTGGTTGGAAGGGTTGGGATCTGCTGCCGAGGCTTGTCTGTGTCCAAAAACATGGCTGTAGGTTCTTCTGAAGTGGCCTTGGGTGAGGCTGCACTTAAGTGCACAAAAACATGTAGTCCTCTCTATAAAAGGTAAGCGTTGTTTGTGGTGGGAAATACTGGGTGTGATGTATCCATCACCATAAGGCGAACAAAGCCATTATGGCCACTTTATTAGATATACTTAGCTTGTTAATACGAATGTCTAATAATCCAATCACATGGCACCAACTCAAAGCAATTAGATATGTAGTCATGGTGAAAACAACCTGATAAAGTCCAAGTGACTGAACGTGGTCTGAATATTGCAGATAGTGCTGGTCTGCTGGGATTTTCCTGCACAAAACTGTGTAACCCAGTGAGCAGCGGTTCTCTGAGTGAAAGTGTTTTGAGGTCAGATGAGAATAGCCAGACTGTCTCCAGCTGATAGGAAGGCAACAATAAGTAGATTGGGTAGTATTTTACAATCTCTGGCTCTCTTCCACAGCATGACTTTGTCCTGTCTTCCTTCTCTGACCCCATCCAGTCGCGGTAGATGGCCGCCCCTCCCTGAGACTGGTTCTGCTGGAGGTTTCTTCCTGTTAAAAAGGGAGTTTTTCCTTCTCACTGTCGCCAAAGTGCTTAATCATAGGGGTCATATGATTGTTGGGATTTTGTCTGTATGTATTATTGTAGGGTCTAACTTACAATATAAATCATCTTGAGGTGGCTGTTGTTGTGATTCGGCGCTGTATAAAATTGAATTGAAAAACATTGCCTGCTCTAACAAATCTTGATTTCTGGTGCAACATTTGGATGCTAGGGTCAGAATTGGATATAAAACATCCATCCTTGTGTCAGGATGCAGGACCTGCACGACTTGATGGATGAATGAATTCTGCTCTCTACCAAAAAATTCTGAAGAAGCATGACCGGCCATCAGTTTATGCCCTGACGTTCAAGAGCTCAGGTTATGCAGCAGTGCAATGATTGGAAACATACTAGCAAGTCCATCTCTGAATGGCTCATCAAAACAGGGTTTGGAGTGGCCAAGTCAATATCTGGACTTGAAATAAGCCGAGACACTTTGGAACGTCCTAAAAAGTCTGTTCATGATTTGAAATTGTCAAATGTGACTGAATTAAAACAATTTTGCAAAAAAGAGTGGGATAAAATTCATCCATAAAGATGTGAAGGCCTCATTGCCAAATGCTTGTGTGCAGCTCTTGCTGCCAGGGGTGTCACAACCAGTTATTAGCTTTAGGGAGCAATAACCTTTTTTACACAGTAGGCTGGATAACTTTGCTTTTCTTTTCTTTTATATGGAATCATTGTTTCAAAACAAAACCACCATTAAATGCAAAACCCCCAGACTGAGAAACGGCTTCATTCCAGAAGCTGTGAGACATCTCAATACATAATGGACAAGAAACTGCTACTGTGGTGTAATCACTACAGATACTTTGCTGCTAAAATACTTATACCTACACTTCTATACTTTATACTGTTACTCAGGTTGTTGCACTTTACTTAATTTGTATTATTCTATTACTTATCTGTATTATTTATTACTTATTTGTATTATTTTATTACTATTTGGTACTATTTTATTACCTGTCATTCTGTTGTTTTTATGGAAAACCTGTGGAAAACCTGTGGGTATGTAATTTCGTTCCATCTCATGTAAACATGCGATGAGAATGACAATAAAGCTTCCTTGAATCCTTGAAAACAGAATTGTTAAAAGTTATTTGATGATCTGAAACATGTAAGTGTGGGAAAAAGACACACACACACAGAAGAAAAACTCAGGAAAGGGAAGATACTTTTTCACAGCGCTGTGGCGATTTCTCTGGTTATAAAACAAATCTGAACAAGGTTACAGGAACTCAGTGGATAAAGCAGGATGACTGGATATCAGGTATTCCAGTGAGAAGTTACTTCCTAACACAGGAAAGACTAAAGAACTGCATAGTAAGATAATGTATTTCATTTCTGTCCCGATTCTTTTATGATGGGCTGAGAATAAACAACAAATACTCAGAGCAGGTCCGGTCAACAACAATTATTTATTAAGCACATATATGTGGTAGATCCACACGACACCACCCAAAGCGCAGTCCGGTAGATCTCAAATTGGAAGCACACAGGCTTCACTATTTTAAAGGGCTGAACACGCACTGTCTGCATAAGCAAAGTATGTTATCATGCAACAGTGACAGTTAACTTCATCCCCCTCTAAGGCAGTAATGTTCACACCCACTTACAGTCTCAACGCTCTTTCACTCTGTTTTGTTTCCTGTTGCTCTCGTTATGAGGCCCATGATCATGAGTTTCACATCCTGTTCAAACTTTACCGTATGCAGTTACAAGCAATTTATTAACTTCTGGATTACTATGACACTTACTGCTGCATAATATATATTTTCCAAATTTCCTGGAGCCTGCTGTGCTTGTGGCTTCCCTGCAGTTTGTTGCACCCTTTTTTGTGAGGTGCTAAGGCAAGTTTACTCTCCTTGTTTCAGGTATGTGCCTTTCAGCCTTTTCAACATTAACACTTTGAAGTTGTCATATTCAAAGGAAACTAAACAAATAATTGATCATTCACATCTTGTCAGTTCCATGTTTCTGGACTGTGTAAAGTGTTAAAGAACTTTTTTCTATCCGCATTTGATCCTGCAGTGGTTTCTTGCAGTCTGTAGACGAAGAGGCAGAAAAATGGGGCAGAAAAGAAGAATGCTTCTTGCTGCAATAATTTTTATAGCTGTCTATTACAAAGTAAGAATCATAATTCAAACAAATATTAGAAGGTTAAAAAATTATACATTTAAAAATGTCTTTTTAAATGTCTTTTTAAATGTGATATATCAATTAGGTGACCGCGAAGGAAACAAGACTACTGGATGTCCAAAAGACCACAAATGTTGTGGATGATCTGTACTATGGATGCCGTGAAGAGGCCATGAAGAAGTTCATCGAGTCAGATGTGTTAAAACAAGAACTAAATAACAGTGAAGGATTTCAGAAAGCATGGAATAAAAGTATTGAGTGTTCAAAGCAGATCCCTCAAGGACGAAAAGAGCATAGTGCTGCACTTTCAGTCTATATTAATGAGGATAAATCGTTCATACAAACACTGAACAAAGCAATAGAGACAATGGGTGGAAATGTTAGCATCTATGAAGACCACTTCAACCTCAAGTCTCTTCATTTCCTGCTGATGGACTCCATGAGGCTGCTGAAGCCAAAGGAGTGCAAGAACTTTTATGTTTTTCAAGATGGTAAAAACCAACCACAGAAAGGCTCCACAGTGAGATTTACAAGTTTCACTTTAGCTTATTCAGACTATGAAGAGCTAAAGAGACCTAAACATGTCAATGAGAATACTATTTTACATCTCACTTCTTGCTTCTTTGTCAACCTGAAAGACTATGTGTGCGGTCAAGAACAGGATGAAATACTCTTATCTCCAGCAGAAGTTTTCACTGTGGAACAAGTGGAAACAAAAACTACATCGGATGGTGACGAATACCTTGAGATTGATTTGAAACAGTCGGGACTGAAAAGCTCACACAACTGTTACATCTTTTCACGGTAAGATTCATATTCTCTCAAGTAAAGTGAATTTTTTTTTTATTAGTTCTACAGAAATTAAACTTAGAACTACAAATGTATCTTTCAGTGTGATGTTAAATATATAAATATGTTTTTTATGTATTTGAAAAAAAAAAGTTCTAGTTGCATATACTAAAATACTTAAGCCCCATAAATCAAAAGAGGGAAATATTGGTGTCTGAAACAGTCTGTTACTCTGTTATAACTTAGTGGTTGTTATTGCTGTAAGTACACAGTAATAACTGGGGAATACTCAGCTTATCAAAGCTTTTATAAACTCTGGAAAGCATGATGTAAAATTAAGTGATGTGAAAAGTAGCAAAAAGAGGATTTTAAAATGTGAGGATTGCTCTCCACATCTCCACTGGGGTTGAGTGTGGTTTAAATAAAACCACGTGTCAGTAGATTTTACTTAAAGTATTTTCTCTCCTTTATCAATCCAGGATGTCAGTAGGTCAGGAGACTACCACAGCTGTTGCAGAGCGAGACAGGTAAACTATTATTATTAATGATTATTTTTGTAATAATAATAATAATAATAATAATAATAATAATAATAATAATAATATGCTTTTTTCCCATGTCTTCAGGTCTCCTCCAGCTGTTGTCGCCACCCTGTGGCTTGTATCAGTGCTTGCAGCCTTATCTTCTGTTTCTTTAGCTGTTTAGCAAAAACAGTTATCATTCAGAGTTTTCTGGGTTTTATAATCTGCAATATTGCTTTGATTATTCATACACCTTTTTTTAGGTCTTTATTTGGCAGATTGTGGTGAATTGCAGTATTGTGTCAAAATATAGTCAAATACAGTTTTCTGCTTCTGTCATATATTATGAATTATAAACTCAGTTTTTATTTTCTTTATGCACGCTAGAAAAATGTACAGCATACTTGAAATATATATACAGTATGTGTTTATTATTTCTTGTTAGGGTTTGCATGCCTTTAAAATGATTATAGGAAATGAGTGATGGGAATGAAAAAAGCCGATATGTGTCGATAAGGTCAGAATAAAGGTTTGGTACAGTTGCTTCTGGTGTACCTCCAAGTATTCAACAATGGAAATACAATAATTCTTTAATGCAATTCTGGAAAATGATTGTATATTATATTTAATATATGTATATTACAACATAAACGACTTTCAGGAAAACTTTAATGTATGATTCACAGGACTAAACTAAATACGCCCTTACTGATTAGGGTAAGTGGCATTCAGTAGTGATGTGCGATACCACTGATTTTCTTTCCGACCCGATACCAAGTATAATTCAGGGTGGTATCGGCGATACTGATCCGATACCGATACTCTGTACAAAAACTTTTTTTTTTTACTGTATCTTTTATTGTATCTCAAATTATAGCTTCATAATGATTACAGGACGTCAGATTACTTGTTCTTATCACTTAATAATGCAGAATTATCATACAGAAAACTGAAGTTGTGCGCCATTTGAGCATGTTGCCTGCCTGCAGCACTAAAGGACTCCTCGAGAGTCGTCTGTCTCGCCCTAGCAGCACCTGTCCCCCTCCTCGTCTTTAGTTCGCCTCAACATACGCTTGTCATATTCTGTGATATGATTTACTCTGAGGTGTTTGACGAGGTAAATGGTGTCGCCACAACACCTCACTTTCTTGCCACATGTATCACAAACCGCATCTTGGCGGCAGGCAGGCAAAAATATTGCCGTTCAGTGCCTTCGTAACTTGAATTTTTCGTGAAACGGGGTATTCGTAAGTCAGGGTTCCACTGTATTAAACTTTAGGACAATTAGAAAAACTCTGAACAGGTATGAAGGTTGTTTGAAGGTTTTGCCAGGATAAAGCTTCTTCTATCTAAAAACATCATGAAGCACAGCTTAGATTTGTAAAGCTGCTTTGGCTTGTTTTGTAGTCACAGGACCTGGGAACCTTGCTGTACAAAAGGCCCCGTAGTTATGGTTTTATTCTGTTCAGTTGTTAGTTCACCTGTAGTTTTTAGAGTGGCCAGTAGAGGTCACCCCACCGCTTTGTATGAGAGACTATGTCCAGGGAGAAACGTGGGCAAAGCACCTGAGCTTTTCTGCTCCAGATTACCGGCAGAGAATTGGTTATTCCGTGAGAAGTGTGCGTTAATGAGCAACAGACCACACACACACACACACCCATGCCCACGCACCTAAACCTGTATGCAATACCTGCTCCTCTGACAATCCCTGTTACCTTCAACTGTGTGAAGTCAATACAAGAGTCTGCACTATCCTCGGTGTCTTCATTGTCTCCCTTCTGAACATTCATCCGGGCCTTGAGCAGTGTTCTGGTCGACACTCCGGGGAGTGGTAGCTGCAAACCTGAACAAGCACCTTACAGTCCTTCCAGTACAAGCTATCTACCCAACACTTGCAGTCACTGAGTGGACTTTGAACTCATCTGTATACTAAAATATTCCAGAGTCAAATGTGAGGCCATCTGCCTGACATTTAAAGTTTGACTCAAACTTGCTCATGCAACAGGACAATGATCTCAAGCACAGCAGCAAATCTGCAACATAATGGCTGAGTAAGAAAGGAATGAAGGTGTTGCACTGAGACCAGTCAAAGTCCAGACCACAATCTACCTGAAATGCTGAGCTGTTAAGAGAGCTGTGCATGAACAAATTTTTGCAAACCTCAAGAAACTGAAGCAACTTCCAAAATTTCTCCACAATGATGTGACAGACTGACAAAGTCATACAGAGAATGATTATATCAAGCTACTGCTGCTAAAGGGGTTTGTACAAGCTACTGAATCATGGGCATACTTAGGTTTTTGGTTTTGTTTAGTCTTTATTAATTGGTATTATTGTAGGGATTTTTCTTACAATATAAAGCAACGTGTTGTGGTTTGGTGCCATATAAATAACATTTTATTCAAACTGAATTCGTTTTTCGTGTGTCCCAGTGTATGAATGAACTGCCATTGTTAAAGTTTCATATATATCCTGTGTTAATAAATTCGCTTTCACTGGAGATTTTACAAAACTGAAACTTCTCACGTGATCATTTTGTTTGTTTACACAAATAAGCCCACTTCGTTCATGTTACTAAACCGAATAACTAAAAATAATAATTATGTATAATTTATTACAAATATTCAGACTTATAAACTTAAATTACATTCATGCAAATTAATTGTTGCTGTGGGTCAAATATTTGTGCATGTTTGTTGAGGTATTTCCTCACTTTGCTGTGATCAGTGTTACTCAAAAAAGTAATTACTGCACATATTACCCAGAACACTTTTCTCAAAACTAAAGCTGTACGTTACTTAATTACTGCCAGGAAAAAGTAATTCATTTTACTACTCATTACGTTACTTTCCTGTTACTCTGTAAAACAGCTGAAACCCACTGACTCATAATCACCATTTAACAATATAACCTGAGGCTAAGGTTATACACACCAACACAAATACCTAATGAGGACACACGTCTCTAACATCTTTCTCGTAGTAGAATACAAAGCTGACCACACACCAAAAGAAAAAGAAGACCAACACCAAAAAGGGCCACAGGGATTTTGATTAGAAACATAAACAGGTAGAAAGTGAAGCTGCAGCTTAACTGCTCATCTTCTTGTTACCTGTCAAGGTTCAGGGTCTGGCAGCTGGGGTCGGCATTCACTCAGCTTTCACTCTGGGTTCTTGGCTAGCTTAGCATTAGCATGCTATCTTGGCTGATGCTTGCAAAGTACTGAAGTTAGTGTCAGCAGCATAATGCGGTTATTTCTGTCCTGGATGCAGTTTTGCACTTTGCCATTTATCTTGTCTTTTTGAGCAATAAAAATAAATTAAATGTCCATGTCCACACTAGACGGTGTTACTTTTTTCTTCCTCTGACACGTGAACTGATATCGGTTGATTGTAGTGCGAGCGCAAGAACCAATAAGCCTGATCGATAGGCAGGTGAACAATTCCAAGGAATTGGACTACTGGGAACCAGTTTTCTAGAAGAACTGGTTCTCGATTTCCATCCCTAATTAAGACAGTAATATTGACAGAAAATTGTACTTGCCATAGCTTTTTTGATTTATTAGACAATCTGGATTAATTGGTAGGGTCATTCTTGCTTTTTTTTTGATAATTAATTACTTGCTAATTAAATATCGATTGATGCCAACCACCCAGCCAGACATCACTTAACCGAGAGAATCTAGGCTAACACGAAACCTGTGCATGTTTGATTCTTGACCAGGTTGTGAACATTTCTGTGGACGTCATTGAAAAACATGCAACAAAGAAGCTGCTGAACTGAATAAAAGACAATGCTCGGATATTGTGAGACTTCCTGAGCCTGACAGGAAGCCAGACCTCATTCTTTTTCATTTAACACTGCAGGATGTGTTTGTCCTGTCTTCTTCTCTGCAATGGTGGACCACAGCTCTGGTCACTGACTGTAGTGTGGCTGTTTAAACATATTTCACTAAACCACTGTGTCAACTTTCTGTTTTATAAAGATTTGAGGGTTTGCTTAAGACCTTTGCAACTGCACTTCCTCTCTCTCTCTCTCTCTCTCTCTCTCTCTCTCTCTCTCGCTCTCTCTCTCTCCAGTAGATGGGAAGAAAACAGAGTATGCAAACCCAATACTAAAAACAGAATCTCCTTGGTTTAAAAAAATAGAAATCAGGAAGGCAGTAAATGCATAGCACCATATATCTGTTGCAGAAGGTGCAACCTGAAAGGCAGAGGAGACTGGAAGGTGGTGTCGGGGGAGAATGTGGCTAGGCTGTGGATGGTAGGCTGTCACATGGCTTTAGAAATCAAGAAATGGAAACAAGTGAAGGCTGAGCCAAGGATTAAATGGTGAATGTTGAGGAAGTAAGAATGTCACACAGAGTTCATGAAGGAGTTGCGACAGCCTCTGAGGAGTAGCGAAGAGTTAGCAGATGACAGCTGCAGGGCTGAGGGAAACTGGCAGCAAGATGTTTGGTGCTCTACAAAGAAAAATATTCAAAGAACAAAGGTTAACAAAGAAAAAGCGGGATAGTGAGGGAGATGAAGAAAGTAGACAGGAGTACTGGGAAACTAGGTGTAGAGCAAAGATGGCAGACAATGGCAAAGGTTGTATTCAGTGTTGGGGTCATTACTCAAAATAGTAATCTATTATACAACATGAGTTAGTGAAATCATACTTCAGAATCAGTTTTAGTAGCAAGGAAGTTATTGCTCTTTTAACGCGTAAACACAGTGTGGTAATGAGTATAAGGGCATCCAGGAAATTGTGCAATGAACAGATGCAAGAATACTGATGTTTACACCCTTGTGCAATAAGGACGATGTATGTTGTATCTGAATACACAATAACACAGCTGATCAAGTTGTTTCACTAACTGATCTACACAAGGAAATTTGTTGAGGGTATAGGAATTGTGTCAGTTGTTTGAATTGAAACAATGACTGTAATCTGCCCATTTCAACTTTAATCTCAAAAGGAACTTTTTTTTAAATGTGCTGCTCTTACTCCTTCCTACATTACGTACATAAAGTTAAGGTGCACCCCAGTGTGGACAGCAGTTCTGTTAAACAACAGCTTGTTTTCATACAGTTTCATTCCTGTAACTTTAATATGCCCTCATTTGTCCAAGTAGGGCTGCTAGAGTCTCTTGTTTACTTTAGATAAAATCTGCATGGAACAAGGACTGTGGTATTTGGTCCCATCAGTTATACTGAAATAATGTGAGAACAGGGATGTAAAGGCAATTTGGTGCTTTGGTTGGGCTTAAAAGAGCTAAGTTATGTAGACATTACTTGACAAATCTAAACAAGGTTACAGAAACTCAGTAGCTCCAGAAGGACAAATAACAGGAAAAATCAGTGGAAAACAAATCCCCCGGTGCCATGTTACTTCCTCCACAGGAAAGACTAAGAAGTTCTATGGTAAGATAACTTGCTTCACTTCTCCAGACCCTATTGGGTGTCCCGGCTGTTTGATGGACCCTTTGCTGTGAGTTGCTAGCACAAGTTTACTTTCCTTGCTTCTGGTAAGTGCCTTTTAGTTTTTTTTAGTCTTCTACTTATATATTTTTTCCACATCAAAGTTTCTGGACCATGTAAAGTGTTAAAGAACTTTTTTCTATCCACATGTGATCCTGCAGTACTTTCTTTCAGTCTGTAGAAGAAGAGGAAAAAAAATGGAGTACAAAAAAAGAGTGCTTCTTGCTACAATATTTTTTTTCACAGCTGTCTGCTACAAAGTAAGAATTATGTTTCATACAAACAAATATAAGAAGATTTGAAAAATTATCCTCCTAAAAATGCTTTTAAAAATGATATATCTCTATTAATGTGTTTTTAAATGTGATAAATCTCAATTAAAGGTGACAGCACAGGAAACAAGGCTACTGGATTTTCTAAATAGCACAAATGTTGTAGATGACCAGTACAAAGGATGTCATGAAGAGGCCATGAAGACGTTCATCGAGTCAGATGTGTTAAAACGAGAACTAAGTGAAGGATTTCAGAAAGCGTGGAATAAAAGTAACGAGTGTTCAAAGCAGATCCCTCAAGGACGAAAAGAGCATACTGCTGCACTTTCAGTCTATCTTAAAGCGGATAAATCGTTCATACAAACACTGAACAAAGCAATAGAGACAATGGGTGGAAATGTTAGCATCTATGAAAACCACTTCAACTTCAAGTCTCTTCATTTCCTGCTGATGGACTCCATGACGCTGCTGAAGCCAAAGGAGTGCAAGAACTTTTATGTTTTTCAAGATGGTCAAAACCAACCACAGAAAGGCTCCACAGTGAGATTTACAAGTTTCACTTTAGCTTATTCAGACTATGAAGAGCTAAAGAGACTTGAAGATGTCAATGAGAATACTATTTTAAATCTCACTTCATGCTTCTTTGTCAACCTGAAAGACTATGTGTGCGGTCAAGAACAGGATGAAATACTCTTGTCTCCAGCAGAAGTTTTCACTGTGGAACAAGTGGAAACAAAAACTACATCGGATGGTGACGAATACCTTGAGATTGTTTTGAAACAGTCAGGACTGCAAAGCTCACACAACTGTTACATCTTTTCACGGTAAGATTCATATTCTCTCAATTAAAGTGAAATATTTTTCTATTAAACTTGGAACTGCAAAGTTAACTTTTAATGTGATGTTTATCATGTGAGTGTTAACATATTCGAAGGAGATACAAACATTTTACGTAGTCTAAGTGCATATAATAAAAATATGATAAAAATACTTCATAAGCCCCATACATTCTGTATTTCTATATAACATATATATATTAGGGGCGCAACGATACTCCTATCGATATTGAACCGTTCGATACAGTGCTTTCGGTTCAGTGCGCATATGTATCGAACAATACAACATTTTTTATTTATTTCATCAACTTTTCTTCTGACGATGCTGTCTGTGTTGAGCGCTCAGTGGATCTGCGTTCGACTACTCCGCCTAGGCTGCACTGTCGAGCGCAGATCCACTGAGCGCAGCGCAAGCTAGCAAGACAGAAGCTAAGCTCGTTGCAACATGGCAACTTCCTCAATGCTACCCGAAATTGAACCTCCCCCACCCTCATTCAGATCTGGCGTTTGGAACTATCTTGGTTTTCATGTGAAGTGAACTGAACCGTGAACTTTGTGTATCGTTGCACCCCTAATATATATATATAATATAACAAAAATATTAGTAACACATATTTATTTATCTCAATAAATGTGCATACACCTAAACAATGAAAACTACTAAGAAAAATCATAGGTGTTGTCAGGAAAGCATGAAGTGAGTGGAAGTGGCATGAAAAGTGGCAAAAACGGGATTTTAAAAGTGAGGTTTATCTCTCCACATGTCCAGTGTTGAGGTTGGGTGTGGTTTGAAAATGTGTCAGCACATTTACTTCAATTACTGTTTTTGGCTTATCCAATTCAGCACTTCAAGAGGGCATGAGACTACCACAGCTGTCATAGAGCGATCCAGGTGACTATTATTGCTATTTTTATTGTTATCATTACTATTATTATTATTATTATTATTATCCGTTAATTTATTTCGTCTTTTCTAATTCAGTGTTCCAGGAGTTGTCACAGACCGAAACAGGTAAATTATTATTATTATTATTATTATTACAACAACAACAACAACAACAACAACAACAACAACAACAGTAATCTCTTCCTGTCTCTCTGCGTTGTTTCCATGTCTTCAGGTCTCCTCCAGCTGTTGTCTCCACCCTGTGGCTTGTATCAGTGCTTGCGGCCTTATCTTTGTTTTCTTTAGCTGTTTAGCAAAAACAGTTTTCATTCAGAGTTTCAGAGTTTTATCATCTACAGTATTGCTGTGATTCTTCATACAATTGTTTTACATGTTATCTGACTGATTGTGTTGAATTAGTTGTCTTAGCAGCAATTTTCTGTTTCTGTCATATGTTATGAATTATAGACTTCATGACTTCAGAATATTTGATAAAGATTTTAAAGGGATGCAGAAAATTGGTGTAAAACACAGTGGGTTCAAATTTCAGGCTCATGTGCAGCTGCTGTCAAGACCAACTAGAAATAATCTGCAATCATGAGATGCTTTTATTTGTTCTTATGGTCACATAGATCGATAGATATATATTGATAGGTTTTATAGACTTTATTAAGCCTGCACAGTTCATTTGTTCTAGCGGCACAGGGGTCAGCAAGAAAAAAGGTGAATTTGATATAGATTAGAAAAGAAATAAGAAAAAATGTATACAGATTAAAAAAACAACAAAATACTATAGAAAAGTGTATGTTACTGTAGTAAAATACACTGCAAGACATGTCACAGAGATTATGTTATATGTATATAAAGTGCAGTGGGACCGATAACATATACACGTATGTATTTTAGTAGGTATCTGTGATGTGTGCGCATTGTACTGTCTGACTGATTTGAAGGACTTACGACAGCGCTCTGTCCTAAACAGTCGCTGATGCTCTTCCTGCCAAACTGCTTCTGTTTCCCTGTCAAATAAACAACATGCAAAATATAAAAGGCTTTGCAATGAATTTAGCCTGATCACACAAACATTTTACCCACAAATATGTTTTTTTCCCCTTCTTACATCATGTCATTTCATCTGCTCAGTCATCCCGGGGAATATTGTTTTTCTTTTTATTGATTTATTGATTTATTTCTTTTTTGTATTGTTTGATTTTTATTGTTACATTTGTATGTTTTTTTAGTGCTCACACCTGTGGAGTTTATGGCCATGAAGGACACTGGCATCAGACAATTAGGACAGGCCTCTTTCAGCCAGAGGACTAAAAGGGGTTTGGTGGGAGGGATGAGAGACAAAGGGAGCTGCTGGAGAGAGAGTGGAGAGGCAGGGCAGGCTATGCCTGTGTCCCAGCCTTTGTAATGCTATAGACGGAAGTTTGAAACAGCTGGCAGTTCCAGCGAGTACTGCTCCACTAAAGTAAATCAAGTGACTGTCAGTTGTTTTCCAAGGTTGGGGGTGCAGCACTTGGCGAGGTGGCAAGTAGAGTGGTGTGTTTCTACTGTACATGAGCACTCAAAACACTTTAAAGAACAAGCTTCATGGAAATATGAAGGATGTTGTTTCCACAGAAATATAAGTATATGATTTTTTACGAATGCCTTGAATCTGCCCAGTAGTACCCACTTCCTCATACTCAAGCTGAAAAGTTTTGAAATAAAAAGTACCGTCACACAAGTTCACTGGAAACCTACGTTAGGAGGCACGTTTCCTCCAAGCTGAATCAGGGCATGATTCAACATTTCCAAGTTTCCCAAAAATGAGAACTTCAAAAGTGGATAGATCATGACATCTCTCAATATGAAAGTGTTGTCAGCTGAGTTAATTTGTTACTGCCTAGTGTGGTGAACTGTTCTGTGAGACCAGATTATTCACATTGTTTGGTGACTTTTCATTCCTTAAATTTTAAGATACCCAGATTTTCCAACTACGATGCGTCCGGTTAACTTTAGTAAAGAGAAGCACTGAGGTATTTGAAATGGTAAATGGCCTATATTTGTATAGCGCTTTTACTAGTCCCCCCTAGAGACCCCAAAGCGCTTTACACATCTAGTCATCCACCCATTCACACACACATTCACACACTGGTGGAGGCAGCTACAGTTGTAGCCAGAGCTGCCCTGGGGCAGACTGACAGAAGCGAGGCTGCCATATAGCACCATCGGCCCTTCTGGCCAACACCAGGCGGTAGGTGAAGTGTCTTGCCAAGGACACAACGACTGATACTGTCCAAGCTGGGGCTCGAACCGGCAACCTTCTGACTCCCAACTCTTGAGCCACGATCATACTAAATAAATACATACATAAATCATGTTAGAACAGAGATACAAGGATAAGTTATCTCTGGGCTGGGCTTAAAATGGGCTTAATGATGTAAGTATTACTCATCATTGTGCAACAAATCTGAGCAAGCTTTCGAGAACTAGACTAAGACTAAGGAGTTCATTGTAAAATATCTTGTTTCACTTCCCAGAGACTGTTGTTCTCATTGCTTCCCAGCAGTTTAATCGACTCTTTTCGCTAAGTTGTTAATACAAGTTCAATCTCCTCGCTTCAGGTATGTACCTTTTGGTCTTTTCAACATTTAAATTTTTTAACTTGCCAAATTCCAAGAAGTAGAAAAGATAATTGTTATTTTAAATCTTGCCAGATTCAAATTTCAATGTCAATGTTATTTTTAATGTTATTTATATGGCATATTTCTATAGCAAAATCAATAAAGACAATACAATATATTATATATGCAAACAATTACAATATTATGTGACTAAAAACAAACTGAAATAAAGAGACCACAACATAAAAAACCCTTGATAAGACTCAACATGAACTTAGATTCAAAGCCAAGGTAAAAAAATGTGGTTTTAAGACAGGATTTAAAGACTACATAGACTCTGCAGTAGGAATATCAAATGACCTGTTATATGAGAGTCTAGTGGATTCAACTCTCTATGCTTAAATCGAGATCTCGGCTGCACTAAAACATCTGGGCAGATGATCTTGGTGCTCTTCTCGGATCATGTAAGTTTAGCAGTTTGGTTTAAAAGTTGGCACCATAACATTTGAAGATTTGAAAGCAAGTAAAGAATCTTCAAATCAATATAAAAATGGACAAGCATCCAATGTAAACTTGCTAAAAACTGGAGTGACGTAATCGTCCCTTTAATATCGGTTAAATGACTTGCAGCAACATTTTGAATTTTGAATGCAATGGAGAGATGAGTGTTCAAGACCCAAATACAGAGAACTGTAGTATCCAGTCCAGACTTAGTGTATGTCCTTCGTATGTAAAATGTCACAGAGCTGTTTTTTGACTACATTTGATTCTGCACTGCTTTCTTTCAGCCTGTAGAAGACAAAAAATGGAGTGCAGAAGAAAAGTCCTTCTTGCTGCAATAATTTTCACAGTTGCCTGCAACAAAGTAAGAATTAAGTTTTGTACAAACAAATATTAGAAGGTTAAAACATTCTTCACTTAAAAATGTGTTTTTTAAATGTGATAAATCTCAATTAAAGGTGACCGCACAGGAAACAAGGCTACTGGATTTTCTAAATAGCACAGATGTTGTAGATGATCAGTACAAGGATGTGGTGAAGAGGCCATGAAGGCGTTCATCGAGTCAGACTTGTAAAACAAGAACTAAGCAGCAATGAAGGATTTCAGAAAGCGTGGAATAAAAGCATCGAGTGTTCAAAGAAGATTCCTGGAGGAAGAAAAGAGCATAGTGCTGCACTTTCAGCCTATTTTAGAGGAGACCGGCCTTTCATACTAACACTGAACAAAGCAATAGAGACAATGGGTGGAAATGTTAGCATCTATGAAAACCACTTCAACTTCAAGTCTCTTCATTTCCTGCTGATGGACTCCATGACGCTGCTGAAGCCAAAGGAGTGCAAGAACTTTTATGTTTTTCAAGATGGTCAAAACCAACCACAGAAAGGCTCCACAGTGAGATTTACAAGTTTCACTTTAGCTTATTCAGACTATGAAGAGCTAAAGAGTCTTGAAGATGTCAATGAGAGTACTATTTTAAATCTCACTTCTTGTTTCTTTGTCAACCTGAAAGACTATGTGTGCGGTCAAGAACAGGATGAAATACTCTTATCTCCAGCAGAAGTTTTCACTGTGGAACAAGTGAAAACAAAAACTACATCGGATGGTGACGAATACCTTGAGATAGATTTAAGCCACTCAGGACTGAACAGCTCACACAACTGTTACATCTTTCCACGGTAAGATTCATATTGTCTCAATTAAAGTGAAATTTTTTTTTATCTTACAAATATTAAACTTGAAACTGCAAAGTTAACTTTCAATGTAATGTTAAATATATAAATATGTTTTTTATGTTGGTTTTTATGGAGTAAGTACACAGTAATAACTGGGGGAAAAGTGGCAAAAACAGGGACGATACTTCTCCAGTGGAGTTGGGTATGGTTTGAATAGTTTGGCCTGATAATGTGTCAGCACATTTTACTTAAAGTATTTTCTTCTGCTTATCCAATTCAGGAGGTCAGGAGGGCAAGAGACTACCACAGCTGTCACAGAGCAATTCAGGTAAACTACTATTATTATTGTTGTTGTTATTATTATGATTGCTGTTATTATCCGTTGATTTATTTCTTCTTTTCCAATGTAGTCTTCCAGGAGGGCAGAAAACTACCACAACTGTCACACAGCAAGTCAGGTAAATTATTATTATTATTATTATTATTATTATTATTATTATTATTATTATTATCATCATCAGTTGATTTATTTCGTCTTTTCTAATTCAGTGTTCCAGGAGTGCATGAGACTACCACAGTTGTCACAGACCGAAACAGGTAAATTATTATTATTATTATTATTATTATTATTACAACAAACAACAACAACAACAACAACAGTAATCTCTTCCTGTCTCTCTGCGTTGTTTCCATGTCTTCAGGTCTCCTCCAGCTGTTGTCTCCACCCTGTGGCTTGTATCAGTGCTTGCGGCCTTATCTTTGTTTTCTTTAGCTGTTTAGCAAAAACAGTTTTCATTCAGAGTTTCAGAGTTTTATCATCTACAATATTGCTGTGATTCTTCATACAATTGTTTTACATGTTATCTGACACACTGTGTTGAATTAGTTGTCTTAGCAGCAATTTTCTGCTTCTGTCATATGTTATGAATTATAGACTCCATGACTTCAGAATATTTGATAAAGATTTTAAAGGGATGCAGAATGTTAGTAAATGGCCTGTATTTGTATAGCGCTTTTTCTAGTCCCTAAGGACCCCAAAGCGCTTTACACGTTTAGTAATCCACCCATCCACACAAACATTCACACACTGGTGATGGCAAGCTACATTGTAGCCAAAGCCGCCCTGCGCCCTGGGGCGCACTGACAGAGGCGAGGCTGCCGAACACTGGCGCCACCGGGCCCTCTGACCACCACCAGTAGGCAACGGGTGAAGTGTCTTGCCCACGGACACAACGACCGAGACTGTCCGAGCCGGTTAGTGTGAAATACACTGCGTTTCAGGCTCACGTGCAGCTACAGTCTTTAGTGTACAATTCAAAAACGAAAATACTATAGAAAAGTATTTTTTACTATATATGGTTTTTATTTTGCCTGTTTTTTTTTACTATATATGTTGCTACAGTAAACTACACTTGACTGACAGTTTGACTGATTTGAAGGACCTACAACAGCGCTCTGTCCTAAACAGTCGCTGATGCTCTTCCTGCCAAACTGCTTCTGTTTCCCTGTCAAATAAACAACATGCAAAATATAAAAGGCTTTGCAATGAATTTAATCTGATCACACAAACATTTTACCCACAAATATGTTTTTTTTTTCCTTTTTCTAATGTTACATTTAAAAATTCCAACAGATTCTCCAAACTAAATAACAGAATACATCACTGGTCCCGTAGCAGGGCGATAATTACTAACACTCATCACTAGACTTCACATTATTGGTATTAAAGATGATCTCACACACACACACACACACACACACACACACACACACACACACACACACACACACACACACACACACACACACATTCACTGTAAAGGCTAAATGACATTTGTATTTGTCTGCGAGACAGCAACAAATTTTTTAAATATAATACCTAAATACTGTTAATACACAAATATACAGAAAAAAAATCACACAGTTCACACGGTACATGCAGCTAACAGTAACTACATCAGCAAGCACACTTGAATTTACATGTACAAACATGAAACACAGGTAACATATTAACACCTTCAACAACAGTGTCACTAAAATGTCATTTAAAGACATTAAAATCAGTAAATTACTTTTGACACTGAAGTTAATCACAGCCCCTGAGAAATAGTGAACCTCACTACATATAGAGCGTGTTTGTGTGAGTAAACAAAGACATGAACATTTTAGTCCTGTCAATAGATTAAAAGAATAACTAATTAATCGCACAATTTTCTGTAATTAATTTTGATTAATCACAATTACTTGATCAATATCCTGGTTGCAATTACTTTTTTTTTCAACTTTATATTTAAGCTTGTAACTGACATTCATGCAATATAATGGAGTAAATGCAGAATAAACACAAAGAATGTATGCTTACATTCAAAGAGAATTTGAATAGTTTTCTTCAGTCTTTTAACACAGGTTCTTTCCAGTGAAATAAAACATAAAAAAACCTATATACTAATAGGTAAGTATATCATATATATTAGTGCTGTCAAACAATTAAAGTGTTTAATCAGGTTCATCACAGGGTTACTGTGGATTAATTTTGATTAATCACGATTAAATACCATTAATTTCTATTCTACATTAATCACATTTCATTTTGCATGAGCAAACAGACTCGAGAAAAAGGGAAAATATACACACTTAACATGTTTATTGAACATCTTGAACATTCATGTTAACAAAAAAACTGAAACATTTATCGACTCTCTCTCTGTCATTCTTGGGGAGGCACTTCAAGTCCTTGAAAAGAGGAACCAAAGCTGCGTCAAGCGCGTGTTCTCAACGATATTAATAGCATTGCAGTTTGTTGCAATCCACTTGACAATTGTGTCAGTCAACGTGTTGCAGCATCCCCGACTAACGTATGCTTCGCGGCAATGTGATATTTTCAGCTGAAAGTGCTTCAGTGAAAAGGAAAATCCTTCTTGCACAATGTGCATAATACTTTGTCTGTCGACTGTTCCGCCTTGTTATTGTTTTTAACACACAAATTTCCCATCAAGAGGGCCAATGTGCGTTTATCATCTTCCATATTGAGTTGATTTGTTCAGCTGCCCGTCACTACCAGATCAACTGCCCATTTGCGCATGTGCGAAGGTAACTCTACTTGGACAAACTGCCCGAAATGCGTTGAAAGAGAAATTTCAGGGATTTTGAGTCATTCTTCACTCCAGATGCGTTAATTGCGTTAAAAATCTTAATCGCGTTTACTGCGATGGTGGCTTAATTTGCGTTAACGCATTCATTTTGACAGCACTACAAAATTTACAAGTAGAGCCAGAATAAACTGATGAAATTTAATATCCCTGATGCTTTGTGCAAGAGCTGCCTGTTTACTTTATTCAATACTGCAAATATGTGTATAATCTTTTATATACAATTCTGAAAAATCTATTGTACTCACAACAGTTGGGAAAAGACAGTCTTCACAAAACAACTGCTTTCTTTTTACTACCAAGATGGGAGAGAGCACAGGAGATTAATAGTGCAGACTAGAATTAAGAGTGAGACACCAAACATGAGGAAAGATGAAGGACAGGTGAGCATCCAAAAGACAAAAACACAGTTTATTACAGTTTAAAAAGAAGCTACGAGTCCACAGTTCAAAAAGTTTAACAGTAGAGCTAAATGCTGTCAGCATACGATCTTGCATATGACTTCAAGGTTTTATTCCTTATGGTTAAAGTAAAAATAATAATGAATGTTTATAGGATACTTTTGTGACAGACAGACACACCTGACAATGTGCAACAATTCTCCTATAAAATACAGTAAACACCTTTAAAAACATTTATGCAAAGACATTTTTTCCATTAGACTGTGACTATTGTAATGAAGTCTTTAACAAAGTCCCATTTTAAAGCACCATATATGCTGCGTAATAAAAGCCCACTACCTATGTGTTACTAAAAAAAGACAACTTATAACGCTTGTACAATTTCTTACAAATATTCAGACTTATGACCAGAAACATCCTTATCTTGATCTAATGATAAACAAATAAAACTCTACAAAATAGCATTTAATGTCTAAATATAAAGTATCAAATGTCTTCAAATGTGTTGGTAAGGCTGTAGGATAGACTGGTTTGTAACCTGTAGCTGAGCCAGCAGATGATGATATTGCCAACAACAGCACTGTCGGGGAAGTCTTCTTATTGATTTATTGTTTGTTTGTTTTTTGTATTGCATGAGTTCATCTTTAACTGTTGTGAATTTTATTGCATGCTTTCATTGCAAATTTGTTGATTTTTTAGTGCTCACACCTGTGTGAGCTCATGGCCTTGAAGGACACTGGCATCAACCAATCAGGACAGACGTCTATCAGCCAGAGGACTAAAAAGGGTTTA